TTAAGCAAAGGTTTTCAACTCGAAAACTACGCTACCAATTCAATGGTTTTCAACTACAAATTATTTTGTAGCAAAGAGGAAGATTGATCGAAATGTTGGAAAATTGGGTGGGAACTGGGAAGTGCATCACTGTACTTTGAAAGCTGGTCAATACTGTTCTCCATCTTTTATTAATGGCATATTGCATCCTTAACCAGATCAACCCTCCAAAAAGTTACTTCACCTATGGAAGATGGGGACTGATAGTATCAGTTAGTAATTGATTAAAGTTGATGGTAAGATAATTCTTAATTGATTACCTATTCATAAAGGATAGGCATTTTTATTTTGTTTTTTTTTTCTTGATGTGAGATTTATCTCTCATCTCTTTTTACCCTAGCAACTTAGGTTTTAGAGATTCAACACAAGGTAATATATACACATCCATGCTCAATCTTTTCATTTCGTTTTAATTTTTGAATACAGAGTAACATACATATAGCATGATCTTGATTAATTAAATCAACTACAAATTATCAAGGAGAGCAAGCAGAAGCAGGAGGTTTTTGTTTACTGGAAATCAGAGACTTTAACATTAATGGAGCATTCATTGGGATGCAGTTTTCAACAAGAAGTTATTTTGTAGCATGAGATTGGCAAGGAAGATTGATCAATGGATGTTGAAACAAAGTTGGGGAAGGGAGTGGGAACTGGGAATTGCATCTCTTAAAGTTCCTCAATGGATGTTGAAACAACTGGGAATTTCATTTCTCAAAAATTGATCAATGGATGTTGAAACAAAGTTTGCAAAGGGGGTGAGAACTGGGAATTGCATCCCTCAGTAGATGTACTCTCCAAAAAGGTGCATGGAAAGCATCTGAAAAATGTTGGTAGGATAAATATGCCATCAGAGTACTCATTTCATTTTAGGGTAAGACCCAAACATGAAACCTAAAGTATGTGGCCTCTATTTCAATCACTAAACAGTCTAAACTAAAATGAATTTTAAAGGTTATTTTCTGCTAAAAATTTGAAAAAATATATATATACATATATATATATATATCTTATGCTACCCACACATGGAGGATGGAGCTAACGATTTGCTAATAAATCACCTTAATTACAAGATAATTCTTGATTGACTACTCATTTATTGAAGATGGATATTTTACTTTATAATTTAAATTAAATATAAACACTACTTCATTTGATTTTTTCTTGATATGAAATTTATTTTTTCTCTCAATTTTAAAAGAAATATATAGACATTCATGCTCAATTTTTTTTAATTTCTTCTAATTTCTCAATACAAAGTAACATGCATACTCGATTAATTAAATCAACTACAAATTATCAAAGAGAGCTGGCAGGAGCAAGTCGATTTTGTTTGCCGGAAATCAGAGAATGGAACGAAGGAACACTCACTCAGATGCAGTTTTTAACCATAAATTATTTGGAAAGCGATAGTTAACTCGACTGCAGTTACCGGTGCTCAAATTATTTTGTAGCATGAGATTGGCAAGGGAGATCGATTCGTGGATGTAGAACAAAAAAAGAAAAACAAGTTGGGAAAGGGGGTGGGAACTAGAAATTGTATCGCTGTACTCTAAAAGCTGGTCAATAATACTGAATTGTAATCCAAAAAAATGAAGAAAAAAAAGGAAAACCATGCTACCCACCCATGGAGGATGGGGCTGACAGTGTCAAGCTAGTGAACCCAGTTTATATTGATTGTAAGATAATTCTTGAATGGCTACCCATCTATAGAAGATGGGTATTCTATTTTGTAATTTCAACTAAATATAAACATTATTTCAATTGATTCTTTTTTTGATATGGGATTTATTTATTTACTCTTTTTACCTTAAAACTACGCCTTTAAATTTTATTTATTTATATTTATTTCTTCTCTTGATAAAGATTCAACAAGAAGTAACATATAGGTATTCATGCTCAATCTTAATATTTTCTTTTAATTTTTCAATATAGAATAACATACATGTATGAACACATGACCTCGATTAATTAAATCAACTATAAATTACCAAGGAATGCCAGCACAAGCATGTTGGTATTTTTGCCGAGAGGCTTAAGCAAAGGAAAACTCGAAAACTACGCTACCAATTCAATGGTTTTCAACTACAAATTATTTTGTAGCAAAGAGGAAGATTGATCCATGGATGTGGAAATGTTGGTAAATTGGGTGGGAACTGGAAAGTGCATCACTTCAATACTGTTCTCCATCTTTTATTAATGAAGGA